GAGTTAATAATGAGCGATAGAAAGATGAAGACAAAATGGGTGAATGAAGGTATGATTATAAGGGAAGTAAAAGTCACAGGTTATGCTCTAAAGGCACAGTTAGATGTAAAAGTTGTTTTAGGGCACTTTATCAGTCACCTATTGTTGTGTAGCAAACTCCTACAAAATGTAGTGGCTTAAAGCAATACATAATTACTTCCTCACTGTCAGTCATGCAGACATGAATTTTATTTCTCTACCATAGTATCTCTCACAGGCTTCAAGGATGGGGTTAGAACTGTGATCTTATATGAAGGCTCTGGGAACACTGGGGGGAAATTTGTCTTCCCTGGATTACATGGTCTTAGCTAGATTTAGGACCTCTAGTATTGTGGACTGAGGGTCTTCTTTCTTCACGGCTATTGACTAGAAATGTTATTCAGATCTTTGCTAAGCAGGCCTCTCTACTGCAAGCAGGGGTTGTTGCATGTTCAGGGTGTCGGGGGCATGAGAGGGGAGTGAGACAGAAATCTCATGAAAAAAGGGAGCTTAAAAGATGGCAGTTACAATGTTTAATAAGCTTTTCCTGGAAGTGACTTTCATTCCTTTGCTGTATTCTGTTCATTAAAGGCAAGTCACTAGATCCAGCCTACAGTCAAGGACGATACTTACACGAGGGAATAAGTACTAAAAGGGAATGATCATTAGGGGTCACAGTAGGGTCATCATTAGGTGTCATTAGTGGTCATTACCACTATAAGTAATATGCCATTTCATGCCATGTCAGGACACTGGACAATTCCTCGCCCTTCTGAGTATGGGCAAATGAACAAAGTAATACTAGGTATATTCATAGGTGCTACAGTGAACGCATAATAACCTCTGGAGACTTTAAATTCTAAAGTAAAATGTGGTGAACCAGGTTTGTATCCTGTGCTCAGGGACATGGGAAGTTCAGAAAAGTGTTCTTATGGATGAAGAAGTGCTGTCTTCATCTTTAAAGGTAACCATGATAGTCTCACATAGAGAGGATTGATAGTCTCACATAGAGAGGATATGTTCACTGATAACCTGGTCAGATCCCCAAGCTATAGTCTTCTAGTCTTCTAGGTCTTCGCAGGTAATAATGGTCACGTCTCATATTAGGAGTAAAGCAAAAGGATTAGGGGAAAGGCAAAAGCTTCGTCTTTACAGTCAGCATTGATTGACCTTTGCTCTGCATAGCAAGGTGACAGATACTGGAAAAGACCTACTTTAAACATTTTTGAAAAAGCTTATCTGACCAGTATTTGTAAGACTGAATGCATACATATTTGTTTTATGTTCATTTTATAAATTGTCCTGAGTATATTGCAGTGTTCCATATATTCTTGCACAATTAATCTATCACAATATCTGTCATAAATATGAACTATGTTTTATCAAACACACCAAATTTCCAGAATAGCTTTGAAAAGTCATATTGCATGTCAATGTAAAAAGTATGCAAATATAATTCAAGTTATATTGTCATTAGATGGGTGAGGTTGTGTTTTCACTTTTTAGTTCATATACAGAAATGAGAGTTTGGGTTACAGCCAGTTACTCTCCTTTATTGATTTATTTTTGTGCCATGGATATTTGGAACCCTGTATATTAAACTTAGATCTGTAAGTAATACTGTAAGTAAGTGTACCTATTATGTCTTTCTTTAAAAAACAAACAAAAAAAAAAACTGACAACTCCTAACTTTTGTCACTCTAATTAGACTCTTTTTGGCTCATTAGTTTTCATTTATCTTCAGTCTGTTTAAAGAACTTTTTTGAACTTGGTCAACATGCATATTATAGCACATCCTTGCTTTGGCTTATATATGTCAAGCCACTGTTCTTTTTTAGAATGGAAATTTAAGGAGAAAAACAATGATTGACTCAGTTTAGACTTGCTCGCTTTCTATATTTACTAGACCATTTTCCTTCCTTCTATACAACATATTTATTTGTCAAGTCTTTACTACGGAGAAGATCTATTTTTCATTGTATATGTATAGTGGTATAGCATTTTATATGTATGTGTGTATGTGTGTGTATATGGTATTATATAGAACATTCAAGATAAAAATGAGTTGTTTGCACAGATATTGAACTGATAAATTATATATTTTTTGACTTTGCTTATGTTTATGAGTGGTATACAAACTTCAGAAACATAAGCAAGTATCAAATTATATATACTTAATGATTTAAGAAGCTTTCAACTGATTTTACTTTTCCCTAAGACTAGGTTTCTCTGTTTACTATACTAGACTTGCTGAAAGAATTTTTTTTTCCCTTGAGTGCTTTATGAGAGAGAGAGAAAGAGAGTGGAGGGGAGAGAAAAAGAGTTATAAGAAATACATTTTATTTCCCTAAATGTTTAGAGTAAAATAAATGGAATCACTAAGCAAAAAAATGAATTAACCGAGTACTCTACAAACTCCAAAGAACATTTGCACATTGAAGAGGGTACAGTATCTATTATATTATTATCTCACCCTACTCTCTGGGTGAATAGTCTGAAAGCCTGAAATTACAGTTGATGTAAAATTTCTTGGCTTCATTTGCAAATTGAAGTCATTTTCCTTCTTCCTTTCTTTTTTCTTTTTTCTTTTTTTGTGAATGCTATAAACACATGTTATATTGTTTAAGAATCACAGTTCTTAGTTTGTTATGATATCTTTTTTTCTTGGTTTTGTTCCTGGTGGTAGAGGGCCTTTTTATCCCCCCCCACCCCGCTTAATTTGGCTTGCTGCAAATTGATCTACAGTGTATTTCTGAATGATTAGCAATGGTCGTAAGTACTATTTGAGAAGAGGTTTTTGGCATTTCATTTGTTAGGGGACCAGTTCTGGAGAAGGTCCTTCAACTGGCCAGATGTGTCATTTTGGAACAGATTGTGTACTTGCCACAACACTATTTGTTGCCAGTACCGGATATTGTAGGGATGATTGCCACCCTGTTGCCATATTTTTGCACTTCTTAACATTGCATAAACAGGCAGCTGTTCTGTATTTAGAATATAAACGATTCCCCAGCTAGTTCTCCCAAGAGGATTTACCTGCAAGAGGGAACCACAGTGTTAACCCGTTCTTATCACACCCCCACCCCCAGCCCCCCACCCCCGCCTGACAGCCACATTAAATGCACACCTTCCTCAGCCCTTTCAGAAGCAAATTCTTATGCATGTAAGTCACACTTTACTTGCCAGTTAGTCAAGAGAACCAAAAATGTGCAGTTCACTGTGCTAAAATGGAATGCAGTTTCTTAGTAGCAAAAGCAGTAAATTAATCAGCTTATAAACTGAGAGTGAGCAATTTGTGCTGAATTCTTTCTTATTGCCCTGCCAATAAGAGACAAGATTCTCTAATCTCATAAAGGGCCATGACTTCATTAAAATGGAAAACTGTATAAAAGGCTGTGTTGTAAGAGACAAGAAAAGAAAAGCCCTAAAGTCTCAGTTTTCTCTCTGGAGCTATTTTCAGTACAGAGAATTTTTATTTATTTGGAGAGTGACAATTAACCTAGGGACTTGGCTCAAAAAGAAGCAGAGTGTTGAAGTGGGTCTCATTACTGGGTACGACAGGGTTGGTCTGACTTAATCTCCTGAAGTAGTGGGTGATTTATATTACAGGCCAGCAGAAGCAACCTAATTTTGATTTCAAATAGCTTTGTGAATTTCTATTTGTCTGTCTGTCTAGATTCACACACATATTTTACATATATATAATGTATGTGCATTTATTTACCACTATATACAGTTAGACATACTTGTCAGTGCTGTAATATCAGAGAAGGCACTTAGGAAAGGTAGGGAAACTTGAGGAATATGACCTATTAGATGGTCTCAAATACTTTTGGGGGGTGTTTACCCCCAAATAGACATAGCCCTTATTTGTTAAATAAGCCCAGTATTCTGCAATCTGATAGGGCCAACTCATGTCTCCAGGCTTTTCATCTTGCCAGCAGAAGAAAAGCACACACAGATAGATAGGTGACATTTGGAGAGCCAGGCATGCCAGATTTTCGGAGGTTACAACGGAGGTCCAACCTGCTGTTCTCCTAATGAAAGGAGGGAAAATTCAGACTGGCAAAACTGCTATAAGGGATATCTCTGCTCTGAATGTCACGCTGCCCAGATGTCGCTCGGCAGGTGGAGATGCAGAGAGAATGAAAATGTAACCCTGTGTATGTGGGTGCTAGTGCGTTACGAGGGTGAACAATGAGTCTATCTTCTGAAGTGTAATGAAAACAGTGTGGATCTTGTCCATATTCATGTCATCAAAAAGGGCTCTCAAAAGCTTCTCACCCCACTTCCCCTCCTAGACTGACATGCACACATGCTCACAACCTTGTGCATGTGACTTGATTCAGCCTTTTAGTATAATTTGACACTTCATTTTAATGTATTTATATACATATATGAATATGTTTTCTCTGTGTAGATAATAGAAGCACATGGTAAAGGGATTTTTAACCTTAATTTCTTATAAAATTTTAAAGCTGTATCATGCATATTTGTCATCTTATTTTTCTTAGATTTATCTCAATTTTTCAGTCGTATTAAACAGTAAAAGTGTCTGATCATGTAGTTAGCCATTCCACTATTCTTCTTAGAGTATATTTTAAATTTACCAAAAACATTGCTTATTCAAACTGCTTAAATTCAAATGCGTATACAAGGTGTAGCTTGTGTATACCATCCCTTTTATTTTCTGTCTAGCAGTTGCACTTAATTTTTTCCCTAATGTTTCAAATGGTACAGCCAACAATGTTTTTCCATAGGCAAATTAGGGGTGCAAAAACCTCCAAAAAGGTTCCATAAAAGAAATGTGTTGAAAAATAGGTTTGGATTATGCCATTTGTCAAATCAACTGTAGAATCTTAAGGAGTGTCTTCTGAAGTGGACTTTCCGTACCAATTGTTATACAAGAAATAAATGCTGCATTCACCAGGGGACTAAATGATTGTCTCTGAATTTTCTTTACTACAATTCTTTTTCTTCAGTGTTAAGAGATGACTTCCGGCAAAACCCCACAGACGTGGTCGTGGCAGCTGGGGAGCCCGCCATCCTGGAGTGTCAGCCTCCCCGGGGACACCCCGAACCCACCATCTACTGGAAAAAAGACAAAGTTCGAATTGATGACAAGGAAGAAAGAATAAGTGTGAGTTAAGTTAAATATGTACTGAGATTGAATATCAAATCTTAGAATGGATGTATTTTCATCTATTTATTGTTAGCGAAATTATAAAACTATATGAATGCTAGTTGCATTTACACTGTACGCAAAGGACTGAGAATGGTAAATGAAAACCAAAACTTTGGCATGAGGCCTACCAGGGACAACAATTATATAGTTCAAATATACATGATATATGAATAATTATACCAATCTGAATATGGTAATACATCTTTGCAGTAGAATATTGATATCTTAGCTTTTTTAAGATCTCCAAATGCGTTTATTGATCATGCAATACATGTGTGTTAAAGTGTAAATGATGGCCATAAACCATGTTAACTGGAACACTACTTTTAGTGCTCTTTCAAAAATTTATTGTGAGAGGACATAATTTAAGTTAATGAACATTTCAAACACTTTTCCAATTATTAATATTTATAACTAGAATTTTATGTGTGAATTATTTTCAAAATTTAACAGATAAGGAAAAGCAAAATAGAAGTGACTTTTTATGCAGTTTTGCTCATGTAGAAAAAGTCTGTTTTCAAAGGATACTGATGATGAGGTTCAGTGGTTGATTAATATTCAAAATAAAGCACCCAGAAAAAGTTAAAGAGGTAAAAAAATAGAATGGCATGCAGTCATTTTATTTTTTTCCAGAGAATTCACTCAACATTTGCATGTGAAATTTTGGAGGACCAGACCACTGAAATAGACAGTTTATGCATTTATGTTTTGATAATGTTTGTATTGTTTTTTGATTCAGTACAATAGCCAAGCATTTAAAAAATATGTCTTGATTCCCTGAGTAAATGTACCTTTTTTTTTCAAATGTGCATAATATCCTAAAAGAAATTATAGAATGAGGTTTTCTTTTCTTACATTCATGACACGACACAGGAATATGTAAGTCATGCAAGAGATCACAACATATTCACATAATTCTAGACTGCACTGTCCATACTGGAAAATTAAAATTGCCGAGGGGAATGTGGTTACCAACAGCACGCATTTGGGAAACAAGTAGAGAAAAAATGTTGCTCCTGGTGATGGCGAAATCAATGTTCAAAGGTTTTCTAGTTCATGTTTGTATCATTTAGCTTTCACTTTGTAACAAGGCACCGCTAGATATCATGACTTATACTAGTTTACTTAAACTAGGACAAGGATGGGTCAACTGACCGTTCTTTGTTCAGGACCAGGTTGGCCAGTGTCTCAAGTCTTTCTTACCTTCTGTGGCCAGGGTAAGGGAATAGTAGCAGCTGCATGCTCTGAGATGATTTGCAGGTCTGGTGATTGATTGGCTCTTATCTGTGGTTCTTGGTTTCTCTTCATGGCTACTCATCTTCCAGCTCAGACTTGTTCCATCAATAATCTTGAGTTCTAACTGTGACAAGCTAAAGCAAGTTCCATTTTGCAGGAACCTTTTTCCTCTGGTGAAACATTAATATAGTGCCATTGGTAAAGTCAAGTCATATTGCCAAGCTCATGTTTGAGGAAAAGGGGGTGTGCTGCATGGTCATTTTTATGATCTACTGTCCATTGCTATCTCTTTTATGTAATTGATAGCACAGTGATCGTCTTTTATCCTATGGCGTAACAGGTTTTAGAATCTGAAATATTTCTGGTGAGAACATATATAAATATTATACTTGCTTGAAATTAAAACATCATGAAAGTTCTTATCTTTTATCTCTTTAAAAACATTCTATCATTGTAAAATTAAGGTTGTTCAAAAATTATGTTAGTAACCTTTCTTTTCCTTTCCTGTTTTCTCCCCCTCTTCAATTTCTTTTCTGTTCCCCCCCCCTTTGCATTTTAACAGATCCGTGGTGGAAAACTGATGATCTCCAATACCAGGAAAAGCGATGCAGGGATGTATACCTGTGTTGGTACCAATATGGTGGGAGAGAGAGACAGTGATCCTGCGGAACTGACTGTCTTTGGTAAAACTCTCTTTTAAATTGGAAATTGCTACTTTGGTTTACTTTTTCTTTGTAGATTTGTTCATGGTAGACATCAGACTATATTAGGGACCGGTATTAGAACTTGTAGTAAGTTATGACATGCTAGAACTGTCTGCTTTTTTTTTTTCATTCTGCCTCTCAGATAAAATCTTAGATGTGAAAGAAAACAAAACTTCTGAAATATGATTTGCTTCTTTATTAACAAGATTATAGGGGTTTCCATTAGAATATGAAAAATTGGTTTTAAAAGTCTATTTAGAATATTATGTCTGTCTGAAGTTTGTCATTCCACTGTGATCCATTTATCACAGTGTCTGCTCAGTGGGTGACAGAGGGTATTATCTTAAAAATTATCGTGCAGTGTAAAGATACTTCAAGAGACTCTACCTTGAATATTTCAACTAATAAACTAAAACTTAATTAAATCAATATTATAGAAGTGGTGGAGACAGCATTATAAAAAGGAAATTTGGACCAAATAAACAAAGGGAATATTATATAGCAATATGGAATACTAAAGATGAAATCCAATGATAGCAAATTGGGGAATTCCTGAAGGTATTGCAAAATGAAACATTTGCCTAAAAGACATCAAAGTCCTATCTAAGTGCCTGTGCAGTGATGCATATTGAACACACACACACACACACACACACACACACACACACGTGGTTTTGTGTCTCTGTGCATCAAACTAAGTAAACCTTAGTAAAAGATTAACTATTTCAGGTAATATTTGATATTTTTTTATGTGAAGAAATCATTGTGATTTTTATGCTGGTAAAATAATCTTATGATTCTGTGCACAATTGGATGAGATCTTCACTACTAGGCATTCCCACAGGTAGCATCAAAATCCTGCATAGGTTCCTAAAAACACCTCTGTTACAGTTGAAGTGCTGACATGCAGCAGTCTTATTAGAATTCCCATCAATTCTGAGCATGATGTACCGGAGTACAGGTCTCTCTTTTCAACTACTTCTACTATGGCATAATCACTGTTAATGTTTTTTGTAGACGCTAAGCAGCTTTAACTCCCGAATGACAAAGCCAGGAGAAACGCCATAATTCATTAATGGTATTGATTATTTAAAAAAAAAAAAAAAGTTCAGGATCTCCCTGACTCCCTGGTGGTGCAGGGGTTAGCCTCAGCACTATCAAGCTATTACCAGCCATAAGTTTTATCCCGACTGGGAGCTGACCCACATCATACAGCAGGCCTTCCCTGTCTCACCCACTGCTCCCCTCAGCAGTGCATTTCAGTAGATCCACCTGTTCTGCTCCCTACTCTGGTGAATCCTCTCACTCCCTGCACCTCTGGCCTATACCCCAGTTCTTGTATGCATGAATAAATTTTAAAATGAAATAAAATTGTTCAAAATATGCATGTAAAATTCTGAACTGCAGAGTTCAGATAAGTATCAATTCACCTTCAATTTCATTCAGTCATCTCTGAGAGTCCCAAAATGTCCTTTGTCTGTAATGGAAAGAAAATACATAGTTTTGCCTGCTCAGATATAACATTAGTGGCTGCTGAACATCACGTATTGAAAACCTCCAAGTTCAGTCATTCTATTTAAAGAAACATTCATTGCTATTTTTTCCCCCTAGAACTAACACAAGCTTTGGAGTAGAAAAATATGTTACATTACACCAGTAAATTCTACCTTCAAAAGGAAATTGAAAGAATTTAATGTCATTACCAAGCAATCAGACTTACCAATGATGTGCCTGTGTCATGAAATATTTATCCTCCTTTCCCTAAAGACATGACGAGAACTGCAGGAGATCCCTAAACATGTCAGGAGTTACAGGAGAACTTCTAAATTATTTTGAAAATAGCCATAAACCAAAGAGATTGAATTTGTTCTAGAGGCAGCACCTCTGGACGAATTGATTTAGGAAGTTGAGAAACAGTGATCTGACGGTAGTCAGAATTGACCTAAGGCTTTATAAATATAAAATTACGTTGAGAGAAAAAATGAAAATCGCATTATTGAAAAAAAAAATCTAAACTCAGAAATAAAACATAAAGGCACTAGTGATTGGTCCAAGTCTCAGATGTGACACGTTTGCATGAGATTACTGCAGCTTGATTCCCCATGCTTAGTAACATAAAAATAAACACTATGCTTCATGACATAAACATGACCAGTATACTATGAAATATGAAATGTTCATGCTGCTCTTGGATCCAGTATGTACTTTTCTTATAAACTGCATTATATTTCTACATTCTATATACTATTGGTCTAAATACTACTATTTCTGACCTACTATTATTTCTGACCCAAGCTTTACAAATATAAAGGTGGTTACATTTTGCTTGCCTCCTTTTCAATTTTATTTTCATGTGGGAACAGTTCTACTTTAAACATTCTGGTTCCTGTAACCACATAACTACGGGACATTTAAAAAGATCCTTGAATCTCAGGATTTACTTCAAGATGTTTATACTTAAAAAAAGTAACTGATAGTAATATTTACTTGCTCAGAAAATTCACTTATAAACTCCAAGAAATACAATGAAAGGAATAAAGGACCTTTGCCAATGCAAGAGTAATTGGCTAGTATTTTGATTTTTTAATTAAGTGAGTGGCCTTAATCTTGGAAGTGTTTTGGTTTGAAAGTTGCAGCTGATAAACTGGTTTACAGGGGTCCCTGATATGGGGAAGGACAGAATTGGACTTGATTGGTAAATGTAAGATATTTATTTATAATGAGGTACACCTGAAAGTTTTATAAGCTAAAATGCAATGTTACTTAAATTGTACAGAACTGGTACATAAAAATGGCATATAAATCTTGCCTGTAGGCAAAAACATGCTCCGTATAGCTCAACTGTAGAACTGTTACTGAGCCATGTTCAAAAACACTTTCCTGTTGTCCTTCTTTATTATTTGCTGTTCATAAAAATGTTGTCCGAGTTGAGTGTGCAGGGCTTTGTCTTACTAGCAGAAATACTTATCAAAGCCTAAATGGGCAACACTGAAATCTCTGGCACTCTCTGAAAGTTTCGAAGAGAACCCTACATAGCACCTCGCTTGTGTTAATTACATGCTAAAGATTCTGAAGACAGAGAAACTAGAGTTAAAATTTGTAATTAAATATCTAGTTATTGGGATACCTGTTATTTACCATTAACTGTTATCAATAATCAACCAAAAGCAAATGAATTTTTTTCAAAAGTTTGTTCATTGTTTATCAGAATAACATGAAAAAAATTGCATGCTGCAATATTGCATTTCAAATAGAAATTATAAATATTATAAAATGTAATGAAATATAGAAATATATTGCCTCCCCTCCCTTCTACTTCTCATCTTTGAACATCTTTTTGAGTCTATTTTATCTTTATTTTATGGGATTTATTTCCATATGCATCTGTTTATTATGCAAGTTTATTATTTTTACTTCCTGTTTTAGAAGATTACTTGACTACTTGTATCCCCTTTCCTCTCTTCTCATCTTTACTTTTGTTCTATTAACTTGACTTTAGAAATTTTGGTTATAGGAGTTCATATAATCATGTAATTATTATCAACTGTGAGTTGAGTGGCATTTATCTTCTGTCATTATATCTGTCATTTTTTTAACTAATAATATTAACTATTTTTTTTTCTATACATCTATTGTGAATTTTTCTTGAAATCTGTACCATTCCAGACCAAAGTGTCTTTATTCTATTCAAAATTTAATTAATATATTGGTTATGGAAATCTATTTTTAGAAGGTTTTATTCATACAAGAACTGGGGTATAGGTTAAAAGTGCTGGGGGTGAAAGTGTTTAATAGAGACGGGAGAATAAGTGGATTTAATGAAATACACTATTGAGAGGAGCAGCAGGGAGACAAGACGTCTCCAGTGCCATGTGGGTTAGCTCCTTGGTTGGGATCAAACTCACGTTGCAGGGCCTTGTGATAGCTTCATAGCATTGAGACTTTAACTCTGTACCATGAGGGAGGCCCCTATAGAATTCTATTTTCAAAGTATTTTAGGTTCAGATTGTTAAAGTCACCCTCCAATGTCATGTAGTTATTACAGTTGCCCTTTATAAGTCTATTGTCTTCTGATCTCTGTATATGTAAGCAGTTTCATTATGTTTCTTACTAGAAACTTTTCTACATCCCTGAAATATTTTATATTATAACTTATTTGGCGTTTTCTTTTTTTTTTTCTTCTCTTACTGACTTGGACACGTTAAGTAGAAAAATTTTCTACTTAAATTTTCAATGAAATAGTCTCTCCATTTTTCTACTCCATTTCCATGTAAATTTATTTTCCAATCAGATGTTAAAGTTCTCTTTGTTTCTCTCTTTCTTCCTTATTTATAGTACCCTGTTTTTGTTTCATAAATGTTTTAACTTCTCTTGTCTCTCAGGAATTTAATAACAATCTTTTCAATAAAAAAATCTTGTTATTCTGCTTCTGTTGTTGCTGAGTTTTCTTCTGCCTCTTCTCGACATCACTGTCTTTTGCAAGTGGAGTCTTTCTTCATATGGCAGGTGTTTTATTGTTCTTTCATACTGTTTGGTGTTCATTAGAAGACAGTTGTTTCAGTCGTAATTTTCATAGGATAATTACCTTAGGAATGCACAATTTTATTGTTTGTGAGGACAGAAGTTGGGACTTAAATTTTCATTTTCAGCTATTGGATGAGAGCTAGTAGTTGATAAGCTTAAAGTGGTTGAAATATCCAGTTAAGAAATGAGAAAGATATTTCAGAATCAAAGCTTAGGGAATATGTATATTTTACTGAAAAACTGTGACCTTCGCTTAAGATTTTGTAGCATAAGATGTTATTAAAATAAAGATGATGTAAAATGTGATGTAAAATGTAATATAACTTTAAGTAATATTTATTTGCAAACTTTAAAAAGACCAAACAATTTCTTACTGATTTACGCACTTAAAAACCATCTCAGGGCCCTCCCTGGTGGTCCAAGGGGTTAGGACACAGCACTGCAAGCTAGCTGCAGCCACTTCAGTGCAAGTTCAATCCCCAGCCCCAGAGCTGACCCAAATGGCTAACAAACCTCTCCTTACCCACCCGCTGCTCCCCTCAGCAGTGTACTTCTTCGATCTGCCTGTTCTGTTCCCCACTCTGTCTCTGGTGAAGCCTCTCACCACCCCTGAGACTCTGGCCTGTACCCCAGTTCTGTATGAATAAATAAATCTTTAAAAAAAAACTATCTCATGAGTATTAACAGAACCAAGTCTTGTTTAAATACTTCAATGTTATAGTGAGATGAATGGATCAATCATTCACTCTCAGCAGAACTGCCATAGTATTTTATCAGCAAGAATGTGAAACTGCCTCTACAACACGGAGAAATATTTTTGTTTCCTCTAAGAATAACTACCTATGTTTTTTCTTTGCTTTGTGTCATGATTTCTTTAGGACAAAAAAAAAAAAAAAGTTTGGCAAGAGAAGAAATTAATGCAACCAGGCTTTATTTAACTGCAGACAGACTGATCATTATCATTCAGCCTGTTTTGGAAGGACACAATAATTCACATTCAGTGACTATCATAAACCCTGTTTCCTAAACTCGCCCAGTAAAATAAAAAGAAAGCATACTAGGGTGAGCCATCTGACGTCTGAATTTAATAGAATAGTGTGATAGGTCTTTCTGTGTCAGTTGAAGTTGAGATAAGCAGTGGTTAGTTCTAATGTCTTTTTATTGCACACATTGGTCTTAGCAAGACTCAGACTGCTCTACCTATGTAATTATTGCCATAACACTACTTTTATAATGTCAAGTAAAGTTTATTTTAAAACTGTTAATGTTGTCCTAGAAATAGCTGCCGCAGCATACTCTGCCAATTTTACAGACATGTTCTGAATAAGTAGAGTCAATAAGAGAAATTTGTTCACTGGGTACTTAACTTCCTTGAATGTAACATGCAAATAAGAAACTCGGGAGATATTATGCAACTTCATTTCAGATTTATGATATATTTTGTGTTAAACTAAATGTTTTCCTTTTCTGGATATTATTGACATAACTATGTGAGACTTGGCATTAGATTTTATTACAGTCACATACAGGGTTGAATTTTCCAGAATGCCAATTTGGAACTAAATTGACCTGACTACTTGAGAGCTGTACTTTACATAGTACCACACTGCCAAACAACACTACTGTCTCAAGAGAGATTAACCTTGTAAGCAGGATATGCAGGTGATTCAAATCCAGTTAATCTCACATTAAAAAAAAATGTTAATTACATTGGCAAAGACATTGCCTCTGATCACTCCACAGCTATATAATTAGGGATCAGGACATTCAGAGGGACTCTAATCTAATTGATAAGCAGTCAGCAAACATCCCTGGAGATTTCTCCCCCTGTTTTTCAATATGTGTTCAGACATAAGGTGTTAATACAGAAAAATCAGTGACCTTAGTTTGACATGCTTCAAGATCATTGGCTCATTATTCCTTAGTTCAGTATGTTTCATATATTTATTTTTAATTGTGTAGAACTTCATGGAGTACAGTCTCCATGTAGGCTTTAATGGATGCTCCATGGGGCTTTAATGGATGTTGAATGTGATCATGTATTAACTTACTGCATGATTGTAATTTTACTTTCGAATTCTTTAACCATATGGAGTTTCAGATGATTTTGACACAAAACTGTAGATCTGAGATACTTCCTTAAATTTTTTATAATGTGTGCCTGAAACAGGCATGGTTTCATGATTTATGATAACTGTAGTAACACAAAGACAATATATTTAAAAATATATTTTCTGCTTGTACAACTTTTTAGCATTTAATATTCAAGTCTCTGATTACTAGATTTTCAGGAAATAATGTCTATTTAAGGAAACTAGAAAACAATTCCTACAAAAATTTCCTTCCATTGAAGTAAATGTGAGGCAAACTTACAGCTTGTTAATGTATTCTTTTTTTTATCAACAGTTAAAATTGCAAAGTAGAAGGTAAGATTGGTGTAATTAACAGAAAACAATTGGAATAATGACTACAACAATTTAGAGATACTTAGCGTAATAAGTGCTTTGGAAATGCTTAGAATAACACTTTAAAGGTTGTAACCAAACTTCAATATACCATTAAATTTTGATGTTACTATTTTGGGATGGACTAGGTAAGATACTAAGTTAGAAAACACATCTAGTTGAGCCATTTGTGTGCAGATTACTTCCACCTGAGTTGTTTTTTTGCATTGTTTGGCTTCTTTCTCTATAAATTTAATTTGCCACTGTGAGCCAAAGTCAGACTTCCAAAAATTCTATACCACAGGCTGTTCTGTGGTTATCCAGTTGCTAGGCAACTAGACACTGCTTGAGGGCAGAAGGGAATAAGGAAGATACTTTTGGAAGTTCTCCATCTCTGCCAAGTTCATCAGAAGAGCAGTAGGGGTCCCCAGATCTTGCTTCTTTAAATTATAAAGCAGGTGCTTCCACATGTCTCCATGTAGGACAATGGGACGTAGACCACATACGATAACCGAGACACCTTAGGGTCCTGGTGGTGTTCCCTAGCCAAAGAGACAACTCTAGTTTTGGGATATCTAGTGTGAAGTTTGCCTTTCAGATTTACTATACTCAATTTGTGGTAAGGAAAGCATAAAAATTTTACCTGAAAATAAACAGGCATAGTCTGACATATATTTATGCCATTTATTTTATAAAGATTTTATTTATTAATTAATTTGTTTGCTTATCTATCTTTGAGTAGAACTAGAGTGTAGGCTAGAGGTTTGGGCAGGATGGATGTGGTTGAAAGGGTTCGCCAGAGACAGAGGAGGAAGCGGAACAGGTGGATTTACTGAAATACAGTGCTGGGGGGAGCAGTGGGTTAGTGAGACGGGAAAGATCTGCTGCACCATGTGGGTCAGCTTCACAGTAGTGGTGCCGAGTTGTCTACCTTTTGATATAGTTGTCTTCCTTCTAAATAACAAAGATGGTTGACTTGATTGCAATAAAATATGGCTCTTACAACTTTAGTTTCATAAATATGCATACTTACTTACTCAGTTGAATTCAAATAATTCTGTATTTTTAATGTATGTTATTTGAAGTGATTTGTTTTCTTTAGAGTTCTTGCCATGTTTCAGTTTTTGTGCAGCTTATTCACATATTTAATTTGGGTTTGAAATTGAAGTCTTAAGTAACTACATATGGCCATATGGCCAGAAATACTGCGTCAACTCCCTATGGATTGCATCTTTCTTTTCCTTGACTTTGTTTTCTATTTCAATAAGTAACAGTATTGGACTTGTTTGTGACTGGAGACATGTGCTCATAAAAATTTAAAAGAGAATTTTTGCTATATCAAGTCATTATCAAAAGAAAAGTAACTAGACAAGGGATTGAAATAACTAGAGATATGTCAAACTACTTTTTGTTTTATATGTGTCCCCTACATGTAAGGTTCAAATGGACAGGAATTTACTTTTCCCCTCTTTTCCTGTAAAAATGTGTTACAGTGAAGATAAAACATTTTTGGTACCTAATTATAACCAAAGAGTAAGTGAACAAAGTAAACACAATATTGTAAAAAATCAAGAAAAAGAAAAAAAATGGGTAAATATCCATTTACACTTAGAAGAAAATTAGAAAGTTATTGGTGACAATAAATAATCACAATAATGAATATGACTGATTTTCATTAGGACAAATGGATTATCAGCTTTATATTTAAGAAAAGAAAAAGCAAGTAGATATCTCTTAAGACATGAAGTAAAAAACATTCCTGGAAATATTGGGTCTTTCTCAGGTGATAGCCGAGGTTGGAAGATTTTGTTAATGCCCTCCCCCCCCCCTTTTTTTTTTTTGCCAAAATATATATACTTATCAGTTTCCAAAGGAGGGAGATGTTATTTCATGATTTCTTTTCTCTTTTACAATTATTAAAGGTAAAGACAAGTTCTAATTTTCCATTCTTGGTAATATACTGCTACTTATTTCCTTTTTACCATTTTTCATCAGTTTCAATATTTAGCCACACTATGAGTCACTGTAATAAAGTTACCATTTTACTCCATTTTCTTGGTTCTCTACAATTCAGTATTCAGATTTTTTTAATGATAGGACCCACATAATTTAATTCATGGATTTACTGAGAATGAGTTAAATATTTGTTATTGTCCAAAAGGATACATGATCATAGATATCCTAAGCCACAATATGTTTTATTCAATTATGTTTTATTCATAAAGCCTTATCAAGGCAGAGTTGAGATACAGACTTAAGTACCTACATCCCCAAAATAAATCACATTTCCTGTGCTTTTCCATAATGTACTTAAATCATGTGCAACATTTCACTTAACTGGGTTTTTTGTTTGTTTGTTTGTTCCCCAAAGAACGACCCACATTTCTCAGGAGGCCAATTAACCAGGTGGTGCTGGAGGAAGAAGCTGTAGAATTTCGTTGTCAGGTCCAGGGGGACCCTCAGCCAACTGTACGGTGGAAAAAGGATGATTCAGACTTGCCAAGAGGAAGGTAAGAAGATCACATGGACGGAAATGGTCAGATAACCACTGCATAATTAGAAAGGAAATATACATATCAATATCCCCAGTTGCACCACGAGGGATCTTACATCTTGGTGTGTTATTTTCCCAGATAATTTTTGCATATGAAATCACCTTATCTGCTGTTTTCTAGACTGACATCTTCCAGGATTTAGACCCAAACGTTCCTAGATCTTGCACATGAATGTCTGCTTTTCTAGTCCATCTATTACCCCTAAATATTGACGAGTCGGGAATGCTAGCCTCTTGTAGATCTGCTGTTTTTTCCTATTAAATTCTTAAGCTCTTTCAACTATTCTTATTCCATAAAGATTCACCCCATATTGGATACTGTGTTCTTTCTTTTATAACTCAGGGCATCACTAACAAAAACTGCTGAGTACCTTACTTTATGACTTTATGATGTGGAGTGAAGGAGAGATTATTCAGTATGACACTGAGTCATCACATTGAGATCAAAGTAACCATATTTATTAATTTCCTGGTTTTAGTTTTGAATTCAGTGTTCATATATGTTATGATAGGAGTTACTTGATTTAGCTAGGAATTCACTGAAGAATCATACCTACCCCCGGCCCCTGCCATCTTCTTTGTCTTCTCTTTATTACCAAGATAAAAAAAAACTCAACCTCTGAACTCTCTTAGGATAAGTCCAACAGTGTTTATTATCATTTGCAAAAAGAAATTTAACCATTTGTTGTATAAAATTCCCAAGACTTGCCCTTTGAGGTCAAATATCATTCAAGTATTATTTTCTGTAACAAGCAAGTCTAGCTTGACGATTTCCTTTGCTGATGTGTTAGTTCTGTCATTTGAAACTATGGTCATCACAGCTACTACAATCACTGACTAAGTAAAACTTCTCATTCTGATTTTAATTTTTTTTCTGAAAAATAAATGTTTCATTGTAGTGACTGAAATTAGACATGCATTCACAGAAGACATATGTCTTTTATGGGCTTTCACTACGAGAACTATTGATCTTTTGAGCTTCTGCATTCATTTCAAAATCTCAATTTTTATATGTAGCTACGTATCATATTATTAATTTTCAATTCATATCATCAACAACTTTGACTTGAGATGGACAGAATATTTTAAATAGTTATTGAGTGGCCTTTTCAATTTATGGGAATAAAATGTAAAGATTTTAATTTGGGATTCCCAGCCTAAATTCTAGTAAAAATCATGCTATGTCGTTTTGCCACTTTTATATCAAACACCTATCTTTAAAGGGATATTGTCATCAAGAGACATTTTTTTTTCTTTTTGTAGAGATATATTTATTTATGCACACAGAACTGGTATCAGGCCAGAGGTGCAGAGAGGATTCACCAGAGACAGAGTGGGGAGCAGAACAGGCCGACTGATGAAGTACACAGCTGAGGGGAGCAGCGGGCAGGTCAGGAGAGTTCTGACCCATGATCCTCGCCATGTGGATCACCTCTGGGGCAGAGATCGAACTCATGCCGAAGTGGCTTTTAGCTTTTTAGTGCTGCACTTTAACATACTGTGCCACCAGGGAGGGCCCCATGTTTTTTTTTTTTTTTTTTTTAAAGATTAATTATGCTTACAGAACTGGGGTACAGACCAGAGGTATGGTTGGTGAGAGGATTCACCAGAGACAGAATGGGGAATAGAAAAGGCAGATGTACTGAAACACTGCTGAGGGGAGTTGTAGTTGGGTAAGGAGAGGTCTGCTGTGCCATGAAGATCAGCTCCCTGTCTGGGGATGGAACTCATGCTGCAGTGGCTTCTGAGAGCTTCATATTCAGACCTTTAACCTGCTGCACCACCAGGGAGGGCCCCAAGAGACATTTTTAAAATGAAGCGCCTTTTAACTGAGAAAGACGTTAAAAATCAAGGAGATACAGAAATTTAGTTTTGGATGCCCACGACTCATTCCTAGATTGTCAATAACTTTTCTAAATTTGAAACATTTAATGGATCATTTTAACATACTGACATAAAATTAAGATCTTAATTGTATATGAATACTTTGCCTAATGTAGAGAAAGGGTAATTTTCATTTACTGAAAGTAAGTGGCCTTGACTATTTAAGAGAACTTCATTTTGTATATACAATGTCATAAACCCTGTATAACTAATTTCACCTATTGTTAACATCTTATTTTACTGTGAATCATGTCTCACCACAAATGGACAACTGTTGATATATGACTTGTTAAGTGAAGGTCCCTTCATGCTTAGTTGGATATCACCAGTTTGTTCCTTAATGCCTGCCTTCTAATATAAGGGTATTTTTTTTATTTTTTTTTTAAATTCATGCATACAAGTGCAGGCATGTGGGGCTAGAATGGGGAGAACAGGCAGATGTACTAAAGCACACTGCTGAGGGGAGCAGTGAGTGAGACAGGAGAGGTCTGCTCACCATGTTGGTCACCTCCCTGGCTGGGGATCGAACTCGTGCTGCTGTGGCTGCAATAGCTTCACAATGCTGTGTCTTAATCTGTTGCAACACCAGAGAGGCCCTAGAGTATTTTTTAGTTGGATATTTATAGGGTACTGCTTTTAATTGTCATGTTTCCCAAGACCCTTTAATTGCGACAGGTTCTCAGTCTTTTCTTGCTGTTATGGCCTTGATATTCTTGAGGTGTACTGAGCAAATATCTTATAAAATAATCCAAACTTGGGTTTGTTTAGTGTTGTATTATTAATAATTTGAGTTTCTGGAAATTTAGGAAGCATGCAACAGAAAAGGGCCAGTTTTGTCACATGATAGCAATTTATAACATGTAAATAACAGCCCTGGTGAGTCTACTATTTTTACTCATTACATAAAACCCAGTTGGCAAAAGTCTCCAAATTGTAAGGCTGTGTTTTATTTTATTTTTTTAAGATTTATTTATTTATCCATACAGAACTGGGGTACAAGTCAGGGTGCAGGGATGGTGAGAAGATTTACCAGAAACAGAGTGGAGCAGACCAGGCAGATCGTCGAAATACACTGCTGAGGGGAGCAACGGGTGGGTCAGGAGAGGTCTGCCACGCCATGTGGTCACCTCCAGGGCGGGGATCGAACTCATGCTGAAGTGGTTGTGGCTCACTTGCAAGTGCTGTGTCCTAACCTGTTGTGCCACCAGGGAGGGTTTTGTGTAGTATTTAATTGAGCTCATGTCTTTGACTTAAGGTAAAACGAAACTCAAATTACATCCAGTTTGCTTTTCCCCAGATTGTTCTAGGTGTTAGCTCATGAACCTGACAGTTTTCATTGCTACAATGCTCTCCAAATCTTGCCAAATTAATTTCCTTTCAATTTGAAATAAAACATACAGATTAATCAATGCCATTAAAACTACATATCAAAAACAATGTTTCAAGGCCTCAATAGTCCAGAAAAATATTATCATCAAAATCAGTGAGAATGCTATGTGAGTTTTATATGCTATGTTACAGAGGCTTAGATCAAGATCAATGCAATATAGAAATTGAGGTCAGTATTTTTATCATGATACAAGCTATGTGCTCTTTCTTGAATTCTCAAACTTTACATAGTATTTCAAAGACACTTATTCATTCTTATACTGGTACTCATTACCATAAGATGCACTTATGCATGATGTGGGAGAAAGAGACCTTTTTTATTTGGTGAGTAGTTAACAGGAATGACTTTTAACCAACCATAGTCTAAATCAACAACATTGATTCTATTACATTATTTAGGTCTCAGATTAAAGAGATGGCTATTGTTCTGTGTAAGCAATTGTGTGGAGTGGTGTGGAGGATGACATTTCTTTGGCTTAGCATTTAATGAAATTTGAATAAGGTTTGTGTAGTAGTTCACACTTAACACATTTATAGTAAAGCTTTGTAGGGCAGCTGCATAGCCTGTAATTACTGTGTAAGTAATATGTGACTAGTTTTCTTTTAGAGACAAGAAAAGCTTTTCAATTCAAGTTTAGATTTATGAAATGCTGTGATAGCTATTTAAACCTTCAACACAGAAAACTGTGCCAACTTTTCAGGAACCAGAAATGAATTGAGAAAATATCTTTCCTTAGTCATGAATTTCTTTTTAAGTAGTATCTTTATATTTATTTCATTGACTTACTCTCCTGACTATTGTTTAATGAAATTAAGCATATCCTTTGTGAGTTCTATGGAAGGGACTTATTGATTCGTTAAGTGGTAGGTAGGCAAAGTTGCAATACCCAAGTCTAAGTGAAACAATGATTGCCAATCAGCGAAACATTATGTATTTGGACATTTTCCAGTGAACTAAGGACAAAATAGAAGGGACCCTTCACATTATACAGGCTATTGTCAAAATGTCAGTTGCTTACAGAAACTTCTGACTATATCACCATTTACAACTGAAGATTCCAGAAAGGAATAAAATGTCATTCACTTTTTTGTGTGTTTCTATGCCAAGTATCAACATCTTTTTCTAGAGCCTCAAAATACTCAAATAAATCAGCACTGACTTACTATTAAGGACAAGAATTTGTTCATCTATTTAAAAATATAATGGGTAGGAAAATAATGGTAGGGGAAAAAATAAAGAAAAAGGGAAAGTTATTTTATAGTTCGTAATTATAATATATATATATTTTTTTTTTAAAGCATAATTTTTCAGTTGGTATTTTCAATTGTGAAAGTTGCATTTTTGGGTTTACCTCCATTTTGTTATATCCCTTATATTTGTAATACATTTTGCTAGTCTATAAAAGAAGTTGTTTTAGGCAAGGGGAAATATCTATTATTGATTCTTTATGTTGTATGCAAGTTACCAAGTGTATGATGTAGAAATTATTCACATATTGAGTACATTAAGGAGAAACAGAAGAAATCCTAGCTTCTTCCTTGAATACTTTTTGTCTGAGACTAATATAGAGTTTTTACTAATTAATTCTCTTTTTTACAGATTTTTTTAAAGATTCATTTATTTATGCATACAGAACTGGGGTACAAGCCAGAGGTGCAGGGGCAGTGAGAGGATTCACCAGG